AATGTGGCCAAGATCATTTGCCTCAATCGTCCAACTCGAGGCAGTGGCGGCGTACAGCGTCAAGCGGCCGTGCTCAAGAGCCGCGGAATTGACGAGACGCTCGCGCACAGTGCTAAGCTCATTTTTGTGGATGGTACCGCAGACGATCTATCGGTGGATGCGCTTCCGGAGGTGAGGACCGACTCGATACCAGCGCATGCGCCCTGACGCTGATTGCTCCGCCCATTTACTCTTATTTCAGCGTCCCGACCTGATCATTCACTCGGCCTGGCCAGTACGCTTCGATTTGCCCCTCAAATCTTTCGAAAGTAGCATCGCAGGTGTTCGAAATCTTTTGCAATTGAGCGTGGCGCTGCAAGCCAGATTCGTCTTCATTTCTTCCATTGCAGCGGGCATGCAAACACAGGCTGCGTCAGATACATCTCGCCATTGCCAGACTCGAGTCATCGCGGAGGATAAACAGGTCGAGCTGGAGTGGGCGCTGGGCGGATATGGGGTGAGTGTTCGAGCGCGCGGCTGAAGCGTCGCCCGCGTGCTGATACTCTCTTCCAATTCTCGTGCAGGCGAGCAAGCAGGTCGGGGAGCGTCTCATTTCTTCGGCTGTCAAGGCAAACGCTTGCTTTGAAGGATTTTCGATACGCTGCGGACAGTTGATGGGAGACGAAAAAAGTGGCCAATGGAACGAAAGCGAATGGTGGCCAAGCATCGTGCGGTCGGCTGGCAAGCTCGGGTGCCTTCCGGAGGATTCTGGGCTTGGAATTGTCGACTGGATCACTCGTGAGTTGGACAACCTTTGCATTGACCGGCAACGAAAGGCAGCTGAAAGTGTCGCGCTCTTTTCCAGACAATGATGCAGCCAGGTCGATTGTCGGGCTTAGCATCGGATATGAACGGCGACCGCTGGCTGCAACACCTCAGAGCTCGACGAATGTTGTGAATCTGGTCCATCCCAAGGTGCTTGCGTCAGCTAGCCGGATCTTTGCCGACGTAATGTACCCTCAGCCCCAAATCGTACCACTGGTCGAGTGGCTAGACATGCTCAACCAGCTTCAATCTTCCGCTAAGGACGATAAAGAGTACACGAAGCTCACAGCCGAAGTGCCAGCGCTCGCCCTTCTCGACTTCTACAAGCAACGCGCTTCTGCGTGCCAGGCCATCCGCTACGAGGTCGGAGAAGCAAACAATCACCTCGCAAATGCCAAGGTGCTAGATGCACCACTCGCAAGGGTCTTTACGAAAGCCTGGGGACTGCGCATACGTGGAGATGCTTGATTGTCCCTCAGCTGCGTCCGAATCTTCCGAGCATTCCGTCCTTTCACCATCAAGATCCGAAATGTATGCGTAGCATCGCGAATACACGATTTGACGCCCTCGCATGAGTTCAAAGGCGTGCCCTACGATGATGGTGATGTCGTGCGTCTACTCAGCCAATTGGCTGCTATCGAGCAGCCACCTGCCAGAGTCATGCTGCTGCCCACATACAGCACGACGCCTCTAAAACCGTTGGTCCCATAGACTGCAAAGGTGGAGGAATGCTCGTTGTAAAGGGTCGAGCCAAGGAGAGGCCCTAGTACCGCTGCTACGCCTCTGATGAATATCGTAGCCGAGTGAATGGCGGCGATTTCCTGATTACCGCGAAGAGCGACAGTCTTGCTGATGGGGCCTAAAAAAGTCGTGAATCCTCCACCGGCAGTCCCAAACAGGAGAGCGAACACTATGAGAAGCGGAAGCGATCTCGTGAAGCCTAGAAGGACGAAGGCGAGCACCGAGCAAACGAGCGTCGAAATTGCCATCAGGACCGTGTGCGAGCTGCCGTCCACGAGTCGACCGACGAGGAAGAACCCCACAGTTGCTGCCGCGTTGAAAGCTGACAGAACGCCGGTTGCGGTGGTGGAGGAAAAGCCGAGAGAGGTGGTGTAGGAAGAGATGTAGAGACTGATTGTGCACCAGGCCACAGTCTGAAAGATGACGGCTGCTTCTTGCGCGAGAGCAAGAGGAGACCAGAGCTCTTTGACTCCTTCGGGAGCCAGTCTTCGCAGCGGATTGCGCGGCAGCGCGGTCGGACGACGAACTGGCAGACGAGGTTTGAGCAAGAGGAGGGAGCCACCAGCTAGTATGAGCGAGTAGAGCGACATGACGCGTAGGGTCCACGCAAAGCCGACACGTTGCAGCAGCTTGTTCAGAACGAGCGGAAAGATGGTGCCACCCAGACCGGAGCCGGAGAAGATGATGCCGTTTGCTGTGCCCATTCGCTCGTCGAACCACTGCGGAATCCAAAGGACGACCAGGGCGAAACCAACACCTCCGGTGAGACCATAGAAAATGCCTTGCAAAAAAAGAAGCGCTCCTACGTTGGACGGCACAAAGCTAGCTGCCAGCAGCGAAGCCGCGCTCAGCACTGTCGCGACTATGGCAGACGTCTTGACCAGATGAGGGTACGTGCGAAAGGTCCCTCTGAGCAGAAAAGGAGCAAAGTGCAGACCAGCGATGACGAGCGTACCGATCGCTGATGTAGCTGCTGGACTGGCCTTGCCATAGAGCGGAGATCTAATGTCATTCTTGTGGTAGTTCTCAAAGATTCCGTACGAGTACGATTGGCCCCTGTGCAAGCGAGAGGCATCAGTTCCACCGATTTGCTCGAGCGGGACTAGTACCCTGCTGTGCTGCGTATCCAAGCGCACACCGTTCATTCGAGTCACTCACCACGCTATCATCTCGTACATTGCGCCAGCAGCTACAAAGGTCCATGCCTGCACTCCGCCATCCACCGGTGCCAGCTCAATTCCCTGTCCCTCACCATCGTTCGCACCAAGTATGCCCTCCCCTTCGCGCTCTGAGGTGCCGTCCAGTGTAGATTGATCCGCCGCTGATGGACTCGGCTGATAAGAAGTAGCGTCTACCGACTGTGGCGGATAGGTGATGGTAGCTTCTGACATTGGCAGCGCAGCTCGGAAAGTGAAAGAGGGCTCAGAGGACGCGCCGTGTGCAGAGGTCAAAGGGTACCCTTGGTTTGTGTGCGGTTAGATCGAGGATGGAATTGATGTGAATGTATGCGCCAGAATGAGCACTACTACGTACTCAGCGAGTCAGTGTGGTGTGACGCTCAGAGCAACCTGTTTGATGTTTGGAGCGAGGGGATTTCGATGGGGTGATGTAGTCTGCGAAGGAGAAGAAAAGCTTCGGTGCAGCAGTCGCGAGTCACGTCCGAGCGAAGGCGCAGAGCACACGCATGTGCATGCATGCGATTTTCCTGAATTTTTGCCCGGTCCGCGTGTCAGGGCGCGCGTCCGCGGACACCACGGAAGCGCAGGGGAATCTGCGTGAAAGCAGATGAATGGCTTGGTTTAGTGCTGCGTGCTGCTTTGTGCACTTGCAGACGGTATTCTGTTCTCTCAATGCAGGTCACGCTTTGAGCATGACATTCCAGATTTCCTCACGATGCAAGGTCATGCTCTCTTTCTTTTGCCTACTCAACCTCAGCTGCAATCATCCTTGCATCATGGTCAACCTTGGCTGCAAGGTATTAGAGGTTGCAGACCAGCTTGCAAGTCTTCAAAGCATGGTCTTCCTTCCTTCTGATGCTGTTGAGCAGCAGTCTCTGGCTGCTGAAGCAGCTCCGTCCTCCCTTGTGGGAGACATACGTCAGCTCACTGGAGACTTAGCTGCTTTGATCGATCAGCAGAGAGCTGCTCTTGAGATGCAGACAACTACTTTGAATGCCAAAAAGGCATGCATCAAGCCTGTTGTGAATCCCTGGGTGTGCTGCACCTCTTGCACATATAGGCTTGGCCATGATTTGTAAGCTGCTACTTTACACCTGGCTGAACTGCTCTTGCTTGCAGAAGTGCTATCAGTGGGCATTTCAGATATTGTCTCCATGCCACTCTCGGGGACTTTGCTGAGAGGTGCTATCCACACACCTCTTTGCATGCCTCTCTGGAAGACACTTCCTGACAAATTCTTAGACGAATGGTTGATGCAGCCAAAGGAACCTCATTGAAACTTTTTGCAACCTCAGCACCTCTTTTAACCTTCACTTCTTGACTACCACAATCTCTCAATCTTATGCCCAAAGCCATTTCCCCTTCCAACATCTGAACATCACTTTACTTACTCAAAACACATGGAGAATGAACAACAACTGCAATCTTCACTGTCCACCTAAGACGGAAGGTTCAGCAGCAGGAGTGCTAATCATGACCGCGCCTTGCTGACCAACTACAGGCTGCAACATTGAACGCTGAGGGCAATCAGCACTTTCAACAATCCCAAAATTGCCCCAACATTGAAAGGTCAGCTCAGAGATGCAGATGGATGGCACGGGAGAGCCTACAGAGGTCAGGGAGGCTGCTCAGGCCGAACAGATGCCAGAACTTGCGCCTGGCACGTCTGCAGTACCGTCAAGCATGGCTACAACTTCTCTTGCTGCTGTTGAGGACCAGGACAATGTCACGTTTGTCCGCATCGAGAACAGCACAGGTAGAGGAAGAGTGATCAAGGTTGCAGCTGGCGGAGGCGATGAGGAGGTCGTATTCGTTCACATCAAGGAGGGCAAAGGTGCACGTTATTCGGATGCGCAATGGACGCCGTTCAAGGCCAATCCCGATGGACCTGCCTCTGGCCCCTCCACTCTCCCAGCTCCTTCGCCTTCGGTGTCCAAAAGGATTGCCACGGGAAGTCCTCTGCTCGGGCAGACACCCAGCAAGCGACCTGGTATTCTGGCGTCTTGGCTTTTGCACGTTACCATCGGTACATCAGACTTTTGCAGCATTAGGCGCCCTGTCCTTGGGCTAGGAGTAGGAGAGAATCCAGAGGTTCTGCTTGCTTGCGTCTGTTGCTTTGGGGAGAGCGCGCTGAAAGAGGCAGTTGGGACAGGCCCTGACAGAAAAGGCAAAGGGAAGGAGGCGGAAAGTCTTGTGAGAAGAGATCAAATTGGGGCAATAGAGCCGTTGAGGTGCCAATGCTTGCAGCAACAGCACACTTGTTGGCAGGCAATCCAAGAAGGGGGCTTTTGGTAGCACCTCTTTTTGTGGCCATGCCAAGGCTTGTTCTAGGTGTGTCTTCTCCCCCACACTAAATCTTGAAAAT